GCAGAAAATTATCATGAGAGGACAGGGTATGTATCATGGTGAGAGAAGAGGGCCAGGGACCTCGTGCACGGTGTGCTTAACCTTCACATTGCAAGGACTTCCCACCGTGATACAGGCCTCAGTTCTCCACGGCTGCTCTTCAAGACCACTCCCACTACTGTGCCTCCCCACCATTCCTCAATATTCTCCACTCCCAGAGCCTGATGAATTTCCCTAAGCTCCCACTTTCAGTACTCAGATTGGCCTTTATCTCAAGGCAGAACTGATATTTGGGTCTCATGGAAGATCTGTTGGGGAGTTTTTCAGATTTTCCTGATTCTGGCCCCTGGTGGAGAAAAATGATCTGGGGTAAAGTTGCAGCCTGCCTGACCCATGCAGGAATATTTATCCCTTACGTTGGGCCTACTAATCAGCACAATTACCTCTGAACACGAAAACAACAAGGCTTTCCGATCACTTTACCATTGCCAAGTTGTATTTACAAATGTCATCGTATTTTATTGTATCAACCATTATATCAGTCATGATATGCTAGGTTTTGCTGCAGTAGCAAACTCAAATATCAGTGGGAGATTTGATGCTGTACATTCAATGATGTGCGGGTGCTTGTGGATCACAGTCCTTTGAGACCCAGGCTATCCAAGCATTCCACAACCCTAGCACCAGTGGGAAGGGACACGATGATTTGTACATTGAGTCTTAAGGCTACTACCAACTTAAAAAAAAAAAAATTAAAACGAGAAGTCACATTCCATTTGCCACAGCAAGTCACATGGCCACATTTAACTTCAAAGGGAAGGGAAGTGAAATCTCGTCTCTGAAGGCGAATTGGTGAACTTCCGTCATGACTACCACAACCATGCCCTCTAAAATCATTATAGCCACAGGAGAGTTGAAAAACTCAGACTAGTAAGTCACTTTTCCAAGTCACACAGTCAGGAAGTTAGCAGAGCAAGGCTCCAAGTGCACATTTGTTTAACTCTAAAACCAAGGTGCCTTTCACAACCTGATGTGTTGTCTTCATGAAAATGTTATCCAGAAGAAAGGTCTTATTAGCTTCAAGGGAACTTCAGATGCTCACAAGTAAAAGTTTGATATGTCCAATTGACTTAATCAATCAAAAAGAAACAACGTGTTCCTGTTTTCTTTCCTTTTGCAACAACCTGTTTTTAAAAGAAGGAAAGAAAGAAAGGAAAGAAAAGAAAGAAAGAAGGAAAAGGAAGAAAGAAGGAAAAGAAGAAGGAAGGAAGGAAAGAGAAAAGAAAGAAAAAGAAAAGAAAGAAAGCAAAAGAAAAGAAAGAAGAGAAGAGAAGGAAAGGAAAAAGAAAAGAAAGGAAAGAAAAAGAAAGCAAGCCTTTTGACCCACCCTTTGACCTACACCACAATATCTGAGCGCATGTCAGGGTGATTTGGTTTCTTTCCCATTGTGTGGTATTTTCTATTCACAGGACTGGGTCAGGAGAAGTTTGTATCTTAATCTACACACTTGTTCTTGCTCATGTTTGCCTCTGCTTGATCCCATACCCTTCATTCATCCTTTGGAATGTTCCCGTGACAACAGAAGAATGGCAATATAGCTAGCCAGACAAAAGGGAAGACCAAGAACAGACCAACTTCTCTCTGACTGAGGATGTTAACGGGGAAGACACAGGACACAAGAGTGTTCTCTCCCCATCTTCCCCCTTGAAAGAAGTCAGCAGTTAGTGAGTGTCAAGCCTGCTCTGCAGATGAGGAAACAGGCTCAGCAGGTTAAGCCACTGCTCAAGGTCACAAGGCTAGTACCCAGATGAAAACCAGCTGCTATTATTTTTTCCCAAATCACTGCTTCATTTTCTGTCCATTCCACCCTGCAACCTTCCATCTCTCCTCCTAGGAAACCTGTGCCCGAAGCATGCAGACAATGCAGGGCTCCTCTGCCTCCTCTGATGCCTTCCACCTCCACGGATAGGTGCAGCTCTTTACAATGGAGGCATAGAGATGAGGTGGCCACCGTAGGGCTCAGGCTGCTGGGAAACTGGAGGTGGGAGCCGTCCCAGTACTATAGAAGAAATGCTTCTCAGCCCTCGAAACTCTCCCTGAACAAACCCGAGGTTCATAGAAGAGGAGTTCTGGCAAGAGGCTGAGTTCTGGAAAGTGGCACCGATAGTAGCAGAGACTGGGGTCCACATTGCTGGGCTAAGCTTTGGGACAAGCCCATGAGGGAGAACCCACAAGGCTTGTATTTTAACTCCAAAGAAGAAAAATAATAACCTGGTTAGATTAAATATGCTTTGAGCGGGGAAGATCCTTAGCTTTAATGTGTATGATATTTGGAATTCAAGAAGTCCTAAGTAGTTTCCATGGCTATTTCTGACAGCCTGAAGCCCTTGGTTTTCTCCACCCATGGACTTCCGAGGGACAGGACAATGGGGAGGGGGCTCACTGGAATAGCTCAAGGCCCATCAGATGGGTTCTTATTTCTGATCGACTATATACTCATGGTGTGAATGTCTGCAACTCATTTTTTCCCCTAGGCCTCTGTTTTTTTATCTGAATAAGAGAAAATAGGACCTGGCTCAGGCCTGTAATCCCAGCACTTTGGGAGGCTGAGGCAGGCGGATCATGAGGTCAAGCAATGGAGACCATCCTGGCCAGCATGGTGAAACTCCATCTCTACTAAATAAATACAACAATTAGCTGGGTGTGTGGTGTGTGCCTGTAGTCCCAGCTACTCAGGAGGCTGAGGCAGGAGGATTTCTTGAATGCGAGAGGCAGAGGTTCCAGTGAGCCAAGATCGTGCCACTGCTTGCCAGCCTGGGCGACAGTGTGAGACTGTCTCAAAAACAAACAAACAAACAAACAAAAAAACCGAAAGAGAAAATACTCTCTTCTACCTCTAGAATTCTGAGATTTTAAATAGGGAAAGATGAACATAGGAAGAAGCTGGCTCTGAATACTGATCCTGTAGCTTCTGGATAAACACCTAATACCAGAGGAATAGAGGAGCCATTTCAGGGTCACCCACTCAGGTGTTCTCTCATCCTACCCAAGTCAACAAACACAGCAGCTCTGTCAATGTCTTCATGACTGAAGACACGGATCGTGGAGAGTTTTGTCTGTAAGCCATGATGTGGCACTAGAGCTGCATGGGAATTCTCTGCATTACAGGGAATAAAAGAAGCTATTCCAAATGCAGCTTGAAATTTTTAAAAAAGAAATCACATACTTCTCTGAGTATGTCATCTTTTCCCAGATGGATCCAAAACGAGTCACATAATTTTCCTGTTGCAGTTTCTGAGAGATTCGTGGATTTGAGAACTGGAAGGGGCTATACGAGGTGGTGTGAGCCTGTTCAATACTCTCCCAACAGGTATAATTAGGTTCTTGCCATTCCACAGGGGAGGTGACTGCAGTTCAAAGGTTGGTGACTTCTACGATGGGATGGCCAGAGAGTAATGGCAGTGTAGTGGTTGGGGGACTGACTGCTTTCTTTTATGACACCAAACTGCTGCTCAGAAGCAACAGTTTCCGCCATCACACACAGAGTGGTGAAAGGAAACATTAAAAAACAAAAACAAACAAACAAACAAACAAAACGGAATGTGGGGCCCAGGAACACTCTGGCAGCACTGTCTGGTGAGCCGTTACAACTGGCACATAGTAGGTGCTCTGTGTGCTGAAGAGAGGCAGGATGAAGATGAGTGAGGCAAGACAAAGCCATGAACTTGGAGACCGTGTGACTTTGTCATTTGTAGTGCCCTGGTTTTATGCATAAGCCATATCTGGCCAGTGTTCACTGGATATGCCCTATCTCTGAGATTTTATAAAAATTAATTCATTCAACAAGAAAACCAGTTTGCTGAAGAGGGAAAATTGCCAACAAGGCCAAGGTGACAGCAATTTCAAGCACAATGTAAGCTGATTAGCCTCAAACAGAGAAACTGCTTCCTGGCTGAGCTCTCCCACCCTGCTCCAGTTGTCTTGGAGATTTGCAGTCCTGGTCACAAGAGGTACCAGGCGGCAGTGTGAGCAATGGGTGAGAGTCTCCCAGGAAGGAAAAGGCGGACACAGGGCATTCTTTCAGAATGATGGATTTGCTTAAGTTTGCATTTATTTTTTTCATTACAAGAGAATTGTGGAATGATGCTTTTGCATTACCTTTTTAAAAAAATAACAAATGGGTTTTTTTTCCCCCTCTCTGCCTCTGGAAAAACACAGATCTGATTACATCTGCCCCAGCTTAAACCCCCTTAGAGGCTTCCTCTTGCTCATTTGAAAATGACACAACTCATAAAAACGGCCGAAAGCATCACGGGCATTGAATAGAATTGCACAGCACTGCTTTCTTAATTGTTAATAAAACGATGTACTTCCATATCAGCTGATCAACAGCCACTACGTCAAGCTGCCCCCTCCTTCTTCCACTCTGGGAACCCTGAGTCTCCCCAAGGCCTCCAGGACAGCAGTGGGCTCCATGGCCTGCTCCAGCCAGTGTCCTGTATCTGCTCTGATGGGACAGGCCCATGCCTTTGTGGCCGTCAGGGGATGATTAACCAGGCCCAGTAGACTCTGTGCAGTCAGACCCCAGGCCACCCTGCCTTGCTTTGCTTCCCCACCTTCTCTCTCTTTTGTGGATTCTGAGGCCACACAGCTCTTCTGCTCCTTCAGAGTGCCCTGCCTTCCTCAGGGCCTTTGCAAAGGTGCTTCCTTCTGTCTAGAGCATTCTCCCACACTGTCCCCTTTGACCTTGGGTGACTTTTCTCATCCTTCCTTTAGTCATTCATAGTTGGCTTCAATAAATAAAGGATAGACAGGCGAGTGACTGATCAGCCATGCTTGAGAGGAGGAGGCCCTGGCACATGGGCATATGCCATAGATCTCCATTGTCTAGGCCTAGTTAATCATCGCCAGGAGGAGAAAGGAAGGCTGTGGACTGGAGGCTGCCAGCCCCACCTTCTCCTTCTCTCTCTGCAAGTCCTAAGGAGAAGCAGCCTCAGATCCGGGTGATGCCTCTTGGCTGTGAGTATTATCATTTGCAAAGAGGAAAAGGGGAAATAATCTGAATATCTGGGATTCCAAAAGTTGTCTTGTACCAGGTAACAAGAACCTTCCTATCTCCTCTGACCAGATGTGGGGCGAGAAAGAGGATGAGAGCAAGAGTGAAGCAGAAAAGGGAAAGAGAAGGAGATAACCTGAAGTGTGGCCTGAAGACTCCCTGCCACTTCATGTGAATCCTTGACATTCCATCTGGAAACCATTTTGCTCATGTCCTCAGAGCTGTGGCTGCAGAATTTTCTCTTGCCCAGTTATGGGTTACAGGTCAAGTAGAGAGTCAGCCCCAGGCAAGGGCACGGGAACTTAGACTGTAGGTCAGTATTCCAGAGTCCCTGGAGGAGGAAGAAAAAGGACTGGGTTAAGGAGGCACGCAGGGGAGGGAATCTACCCTGAGATTCTTAGAAACAGCTCAAAACAACAGCAAGTTGACCAGCTCTCGAAGTGTTTTGTTTTGTTTACCATGCATCCCTTATTTGCTTATTATTTGCTGGGCACAGGCTTGCCTTGACTTTACAGTCCACATAAGTTTACAACCAGGAAAATGAAAGGAACAATTTTACAAGCATCGTAATGGATCCTGGTACCTCCTCCAGAGCCTGAAATTAGGGGTTTGAATGTAGGTCCATTTTCATCCCACCTCCAAATACTAGCAACGGAGGGAATTATACAGGGGTTTCCCTCCCTGCTGGGACACAATTCTCTGAAGCACAGTTAGGATGAAAACACGAGTGTTTGTAGGAGCTGAGAGCAATAGAACTCTAGGCCCAATAGATGTTTCGCTGGTAAAAACGATTCCAGGTCAGATAAATTTGGGACACTCTGCATCATCTCTCCCCTCTCAGGCAATCTCAGTGCTTGTAAGTGAGAAGACTGTGTTCCCCATAAGTTTCCCCACAAAGGGTCCGGCTGTCCCCCATTGCCTTCCAGTAATCTGTTCACACATTGCTCTTATTCCAGTTCCACATGCCCTGAACTCCCAGGAAGTTGCTCTCAGCAGTGAGCCATTCGTTCCTCAGAGATCTGGGAGGCCTCACCATGTGCAGACGCTGTGCGCAGGCTGGGAACCACAGGAGAAATGGCTGAACGTTCTGTGGGTGTGGCTGTAGGCAGAGAGTTGATCAGTGAGGTGGGGCGGTGACAGTCTTCTATAGGATGTCATATGCATAATTTATCACCTTAACTAGGACAAGAGAATGAAGGGGAACACTATTAATAATTAATTAATAATTATAATAGGACAACAGGTGTAAGCTAGAGCTGTCTTACATAGACAGAACTGACACGTGACAGTTTCTTGTCTGTCCATTTAGGAGCTGCCTCTAGGGCCAATGGATAATAATCACAGGGCAAAAGGTTTCAGATCAAAATTACAAGGGACTTTCTAACAAAGAGCCTCTAAAAACAATGTGGGCTAGTTTATGAGGTAGTGAGCAGTTCATCACATCAGATATGCAAAGGGGTGACCCACCCTCCAAGATGCTGTGTACAGATGACACTGACATGCCAGGCAGGCCCCCAGCCTGGGTAAGCACAGGTCAGCCTCTGACTGTGATCTGAAGCACCTATTCTTGGCTCTCTCTTTCGGTGAGGGTCAGTAAGATATTTTATACGCAAGGACCAAATTCTGCTCCTCTGATTCATACATAAGAGACACATTTGGATAAAAGTAGAAATATAACAGGACTGAAAGATTAAAACTTGCTGTTTTAGCATACTTAATATTCACTGATGCTTACACATAATGTAAATATCTCTTTGTTTAAAATGAGTATAGGCTGGTCTCTGTGGCTCACGCCTATAATCCCAGCACTTTGGGAGGCTGAGAATGGACGATCACTTGAGCTCAGGAGTTTGAGACCAGCCTGGGTAACACAGCGAGCCCTGCTTTCTACTGAAAATAAAAAATGAAAAAAAAAAAAAAATTAACCAAGTGTAGTGGCGCATGCCTGTAGTCTCAGCTACTTGGGAGGCTGCAGTGAGAGAACTGCTTGAGCCCAGGAGATGGAGGCTGCAGTGAGCTGCAATCGTGCCACTGCACCCCAGCCTGGGTGACAGAGCGAGACCCTCTCTCAAAATAAATAAACAAATAAAACAAGTATTATCTTGACTTTAAAGAAAGACACTTTTCTGTGACATATAAGCAAAATATGGTCAAAACAATTTGACCAAAGTTGAAATGGACTGGAATCACTTCTGAGGAGTCAGCCTAGGTCTGTCGAATCAAGTTTGCTCACTAATAATCGTACTTGGGTTATGTAGGATGTTAACATTAGAGGAAGAGGGTGGGGGATATAAGGGGGTTCTTTGTACTATTTGTGAAATTTGTCTAAAATTATTTCAAAATTAAAAAATAAAAAAGCAAAAAAACAAAACCACATCCTTTGCTCCTAAGCCCTGTTTGCCCCAGACCTTATTCTATGAACTCACTCAATTGTTTAAGATTCAGCTCAGCACAACTTCCCAGATTCCCTGTCCTGAGGTAGGCACTCCTGTATGAGCTCCTAAATACTTCTGCATATACCTACCACCTACTGGTATGGTTTTCTGGCTGTTTTTTATCTTCTTCACCTTACGTGGAGTTTCTTTTGGAATAGAAAGTTTTCTTCCTTTCATCTTTGAATCCTAGCACTAAGGCCACACCAAGGCACTAAATACGTGTCTCAAACGAATTAGTAAATCTTTGAACAAATCTTATTAGTTTTGCTTTCTTTTTTAAAATTATGGTAAAATGTACATAACATAAAATTTCCATTTTAACCATTTTTAAGTGTACAATTCAGTGACATTAAGTACATTCTAAAGTTGTGTAGGTTTTTTTTTTTAATCAATTCTAAATGGTTTAAACTGGCCAGTAGTTACTAGAGCTGTTAGATCGACTTAATTTGGACCCATGAGACTCGTGACACTCAGAATTAATCTAATCTCATTTACACCAGGTGCCTCCCATCAAAATCTGTTTGATAAAGTGTGGAATTGTTTCATCCCATTGGAACCAGCTCTTGAATAAGTCAGACCTGGCTCTGCCAGCCTCTGGGCCAGTAGTCGGCACTCAAAGTGGTGTTTCTTTCTTTGGCCTAATCTCTTGGGTTGCCACTTTCCCTTTTGTTAATTTTTTTTTTCTGGAGGACAATCTTCCCTGGGAGCTCCCTTCTGCTCCCACGAAACACACTGCACCCAGCCCTGGTGCGGCCTGGCTCTGGGGCAGGGAGCTTGCATTCTGCCACCTCCTTCATTGTCCTCTCGGTACACCTGCACTTTCAAAACAGCCCCTGCAGGCAAGCTTTAGAGGCAGCGATAAACAAACAGGCTGACTCAAATTTAGGGAAACGCCTGTACCTGGAGAGCCTCTTCAAATATTTGTCACCCTCTCCCTGCTCTGGGGGAAAGAAGAGACGGTTCCACACAGTCACTCTATTTCCTGCCTTCCCAGCTCTGAACACCTTGGCTCGAATGTCAAGAATTTGGCTCTGAATTAGGACTCAAGAAACGGGGCCCTAGTAATTTTCCCGCCATTAACTAACCGCATCTCTTTGGTCATGCCTTTTTGGGGGCAATAATTTCCCCATTCGTAAAACGACGTATCAAAGTTTGATTTTTATCATTATTAATGACAATAATTTTATATATATATATATATTTTTTTTTTTTTTTTTTTTGCGCAGGCATTTTTTTCCCCAACAAAATATTACCCTGAATAAGACAAGAAAGAATCCCGAACGGCTCTGGCTGTCAGGGTGTGTGTGTCTCCTCCCCATGCTGTCTAACCCCAGTTGGAATTTGGAGGGCTCTTGTCCTTTTCCCTTGGCCTCAGAAGGAGCCCAGCGCGTCCTACCTTGCGTGGGAGTGTGTGTGTGACCAGGACTCCTTCCTGCCCTTAGAGTCACCGCCCCCTTCTCGCACAGGTTTACAGCACCACTTGTCTCACCCGCTCCCCGCTTTGCCTCCGCCCCATCCTGATGCTGCCGGAATGGCTGTTCCAAATGGAAGGATGCCCACGTCCGTCCCGTGCCCCAGTCCTTCAACAGGTCCCCACAGACCTCAGGATAAGACGAACGCGGAATTCAGGGCCTCGTCTCAACCGCCCTCTCCCTTTTCCTCTCACTTAGACAGCCCTGGCCAGCTGGGCCACTCTCCTGTCCACTGTCGCCCCCTCCCGCCTTCGTGGCCTCTGTCTAGACCGTGCTCCCTCCTACTGGGTGATGTCTCTTCCCCTGGGACCCATGGACCATCCTGTTGTTGACCTCGGGGGTCTGCGGGTGGGGGGCGGTGGGGGCCGGCCCTTCCCGCGGCGGCCGCCAGGGGGCGGCAGGAGCGGCTCCAGATGACAGCGGGAGGCCGCAAAGGGGGAGGGAGGAGGGACCGACGGAGCGCGGATCCCGCTCTCGGATCGCAAACTTCGAGCCAGAGCTCTCCGCGCGCTCCTGAACCGCTGGCCGCCCGCACAGCCCGACGCGGAATCGGGGCACAGCGGGAGCCCGTACAGGGCGGGCGCGGGACGGCGGGGCGGTGGGGCGGCGGCGGCCGTCCATGCGGCGGCGCTCTGGGCTGCCCGGCGCCGGGAACCACGCGGGGGCGAGGCGAGGCGAGGCGGCCGCCGGTCGCTCCGGGACGCGGACCGCCAGGTGAGCAGAGCCACGCGCCCCGCGCCCCCTGCGCGCCGTCCGCGCCTCCCCGACACGGCTTCCGCTGCCCCGGCTCCGGCCCCAGCACTCTGGCCGGCGGGGCGGGCTGGCGCCGGCAACCCAGTGGGTGTGTCCAGGGCGCCGCGGGCTGCGCCGCTCTGGGCTCGGGGAGCCGGCGCGCGCCTGGTCCGTGCGGACGGCTGCGCCTCCTTCTCTGGTTCTCTTCCTTGCTGGGAGTCTTGCTCTGTGCTGGCGCCAGCACTCACCCCTCCACCCTCGACTCTAGGGACAGTCTTAAACTCTAGGGACAATCCACCTCAGTCGTCCCCGGGTTGGGGCCCGTGCTCCCCGGGTCGGGTTGGAGGGGGACCGGCGAGTGCACATCCAGCCCGTGCGCCCCCCGCCTCAGCCTCGCCTCCCTCCCACCTGGGGCCCGAGAGCCGGGCAAGTCTCGGTCAGCGCTCCTTGAGCTCTGGCCTGGGTCCCCGCATCTGTGTGTCTGTCTCAGCTTGGTTGCTGCAAACCAGCGAGCGCCCGGAGCCGGAGTGGATGAGTTGTTTCCGCCAACTCTGGACACTTCCTCAAGTGCAGTCCAAGTACCTGCGGCCCCTTGGCGCACTTACAGAAGTAGTTTTTGCACAGCGAGCTCACCTTGGAGCTCTACAGATCTGGAAGTTAAGTTTTCTTTTTCTTTGAAATAACATCAGCCCTGACTTGGGAAGGGAATTTCAGGGCGTTCTCGGGCCCACCTAAGTGTCTGGAATTTGTGGTCTAATGAGTTTTTTAAGCAGTCCACACCCAGCACCGTGCCTCCCAGCCTCCTTTGCCGTCTCATTAAAAGTGCATGCTTGCTTCTCTTCCTGTCTCCTTTGCGACCTCTACCACGCTGCGCTTCGCCCTTTTCGGGCTATGAGTCTAAAACTTGGACGTGGATAGCGATCATTGGATGCCTGTTGGAATTTGGAATCAGAGAAATAGAGACCCGAGAGAGATCTAAGCAATCACCTTGTCCAACCCTCCATTCACAGCTGGATGCACCCAGGACCCAGAACAGTCTAAAGATTTTTCAAGGATCACACGGCTTTTAAAATCTGCATGTCTTCTACTTGATTGATATTGTTGGAGGTGATAGGGTAACTGGGCTTACTAGGGTTTTACTGGGTCTCAATATACAAAGAAGCAAACATTTTAAAAATGTGACTTAAATACGGAACTCCTCAATTCCTATAGATTTTCGTTGGCATCATAGTTGAATTCCTTTAGAAAACAAAATCCTAGCCCTGAAATTAATGTGAGGAAGCAGATGGGCGTCCTGGGACTTTCCTAGAAATCTCTGCAGTGCTGGAGCAGGGATTTCCCAGAGGTCTGGGCCTGGGAAATGAGTTTGGGTGAGCAGGATACTGGAGTCCCTTCTGAATACGCAACTGGGTTGGTCCCTTGTGGGGAGGCTGGCCAGTTGAACTCATGTGATCTCCTCTGTGCCCAGCACTGGGCAGGGCACCAGATTGGCATTACCTTCTTTTCAGTCTCTATGCCATGAGGAAATGTTTCTTACTGGCTGTTAGGGAAAGAAAAATACAGCTCAGAGTTTGGGAGGAAGATCGGGGGTGGGGAGATTTTTGACTTGGAGTTTGTTTTTGTTTTTGCCCGGAAAAACTTGTGGAGATTGCAATCAGTTATCCTACACATAGGCTGTGTATTGCCTTCTTCTCTATCCCCCCACCACTTTTATCCTAATTGCTGGGAATCTCAATGTTTAAATGTCCCCAACACTCCCATTCTGTCCCCAACATTTATAACTCATTCATCGCAAAATCTCTTCCACATTCTTTTGTGGTATCTGACGAATTATTTCCCTGTCTCCATTCCCACTGCCCCCACCTTCAGCCATGTCCAAATTACAGTAATAATCTCCCCTCTTGACTCCCAGCCACGGGTTGCTTTCTTCATTTTAATCCATCTTCTTTCATGCTGACAGATTAATATTTCTAAAATTCTGATTTCACCACATCATTTCTCTCAAGGAATCACAATGGCTCCCCAGTATTCGCTTCTATTTAATTTTTCTCCAACAGATATTTCTGAGCATCCGCTACGTGCCAGGGACTGTTACCATGTGCTGGGACTTACACTCTGAATAAGACAATATCATTGCCTTCAGGGAGTCCACAGGCTAGCAGATGATAAATAACCGCCCAGAGGAGAAAGGGGAGTAAAGAAATAACCGCAATACAAGGGGGATGTGCAAAACATCAAGGAGATGCGGATGAGGGAGAAATTGATTCTGCATGAGAGGAGCTAGGGCAGTTACCACTAGGCTTTGAAGCCTAAGGAGGAGTTCAGGGAGATGGGAAAGGCTGGTGGGGAGAGAGGACAGGCCAAGCAGAGGAAAGAGCTTGAGGAAAGGCTGAGAGATAGAAAAGTACTATATGGACATGGTTGAATCAAAGTTAATTTTCATCAGGGCATTTAAAATGTTTCCTAATCCCGATCTACTTCATTGATCCAAGAGCCATCCCAACGCCTTCCTGCTTGAAGGCCATCCCTCCACTCACCCAGTTTCTTTATCATGGTCTTATCTGCCCTCCCCACACCTCCCATCCCCAGCTCAGAAATTCAGATTTCCTCTCTTCTGATCTAAATTTTGCCAGACAGTATATCCCACCCAGCCTTTCTTGCACAGACTCCTGTGTCTCTTCCCTGCTTTCTTTGCACCTGCTCTATGTTCAGCCTGGATGAGCCTCGCCTCCCCAGCCACTCAGAGGTTTCCCCAGAGCAGCCTCCTTGGGCCTCTCCAGGTCATGGAACACACTGTCCGCATGTTAATGGCCCCAACACACTTGAAAGCACGTGACTACTTTCCTGGGTTTGACCCCCCATCTCACTTTTCCCTTCTGTCTCCTTTCTGATTTTCCCACTTATTCTCTTTCTTTGCGTGTGTATGCAGAATCGTGATGTTTACTTCTGCGCAGATGTAAAGGTTTCATGTGTATTTGCTGAATATCCTCGCTGTGAAAATGGATTAAAAATGTCATGCTGGGAGCTAACATATGATGCAGGCTGACACAAGCGGAGGAGGAGATTCAGGGGAAGCTCTGACTTTAGGCTGCTTTGCTGCCTCTGGCCCCCTCTTGGGATCCTCCAATTTTACTCCTCCTCCACAGGACTGCCGTGCTGAGTCTGGGACACCCTTTCATCATCTGGGCCTATTGTGTTCTCTTTTCCTCCTACCATCAAAACTTACTTCTGTGCCCACAGCCTCGCTGGCTTGTTAGCCTCATTGGGGCCATGCTTAGTGAGCACTGGTGTGTGCGATGCTTGGGGCTTTCAGTGGTTTCTCTTTTAATCCTCCCGGCCACCTATAAGGGAGGTGTCAGCATCTGCATTGTACAGGAAGAAAATTGAGGCTTACTTGCCTGAGGTCAGCAGCTCAGGTTTGGAGCTGAAATCTTAAACCCAGCTCTCTAAGTCTGGTGTTCTTTCCACTATATCATTATTTCCTGAAACAGTTGTCCTAGGAACATCTGAATCAAAATTCAGATCTGGCGAAAGAAAAACACAGGCTCCAGGGTGGAAGCTGGGCTTGAGAACTGGCATTTTTCGGGTTGCCTCAGGCGATTCTTCTGCACACCCAGGTTTGGAGACCACTGCCCTGGGCTTCCTTTACAATGTGGCTCTAGCGACAGGTGGTGGGTTAATATGCCACTTTATCCCAGGCAGCATGTTCCTTTTTGACAGAGGCCCTGACCTTGACACTAAGGAGTGAGCAATGGAGAACTGTGGCCAAGGCCAGGAGGAGGGTCCTCTCCTTTGGCCTGAGGGGTATTTAGTTCAGTCCTGAAGGCCCAGCCCCCTCGGCCTACTTGAAGGCATGTAAGCCCGCTCACCATCAGACTCACTGTGTATTTCTTTTGGGGTCTGAGCGAGTGCCGAGGGAGAAAGGCCAGGGTGGGTTTGTTCAAGAGCCCCAAGTTGCTTGGGTTGGGACTCCCCAGATAGGGCTGGACAGGCAAAGCCAGCCCCTTCCTCCCTGCAGGCACGGTGAGTTGAACCTCCTTTCCCAGAATGGGATCTGGCTGTTGACAGATCTCTTTCATTCAACAGGCCTTACTCCACTCCCCACCCACCCAGCCTCAGTTTCCCCTTGTGTAACAAGAGGATGGCCAAAGCCTGGAGGGCTGGTGGGGGCCCAGTGCATGGGTATGCAGAGCTTAAGGCAAAGCCCTGTCACATAGCAGGTGGTCAGTGTCAGTTCTTGCCCCATTTCTTTACTCCGTGCCTGATCGGTGCTTGAGACAATTGGAGCTCAATATATCGCTGTAGGAAAAATGTATATAATCTCAGGCCCCCTCAGATCCAGGAGTTTGTGTCTGAACGGCATAGGTCTGAATGTTACAACTGTGTATTCAAACCCAGCAAATGAGCACTCCCAGTTGTGCAGTGATAATAATAACGAATTATCCATCCAACATTCCTGCTCACCCCACTCCCCTTCCCCAGCTTCCCTTTAGATTCCCCAAAGAAGAACCCAAGGAACAAGAGGCAGCAGTTCTGTGTATTGATGAATTGTCTTGGGAAAGTGGTCTCTTTCTGTTTACCTCTTTTCCTATCTACCCAGTCTTTCAGCTGAGTGTACTGCCCGTGTTGTCTTCTCCTACCAGCCTTTCCAAAGCTGATCACTGAGGTGGCACCCCAGGCAGAGGTGCCGCTTATCCCTGCTTCTCTAGGGCGTGGTCCAAGGGCAGTGAGCCAGGCTCACAGTGCCACTGTGTTTTGTCCCAGGAGGGTAGCACTGGGCAGCCCACAACCAGGTGGGCAGCATGTGGCCTGCTCCACCCTCCCGGCCCTTGGCCAGCTGCCTAAGACCTGGCCAGCAGTGAGGACCAAAGCATTGAGTGATTAATGGGCGCCCCATCTAATCTCCTGCCAGGGGAAATGAAGGGCCAGCTATGGGCTGGGAGCTCGTCATGACCTGCTCCAGGTGGGCTTGGAATGCACCCAGCTCAGGATGGGGATTAAGGCTTGAAAGACAAGAGGAAATGAGATGTTAACCCTTTAGGCCTTGGCCCTCTGAGCCCCAGCAGGGAAATCGCAGGGGAATTATCTGCAGGCATCTGATGAAAGGGGGCATCAGCTTTGATTTATGGCGGGGATGCAGCCACGTGACTACAGGAGTGGGAGGGTGACAGCCATGTCTTTGACTTAACCATTTTTCTTAGAGGCAGAGTCAGGAGAGAGAAGAAGATTAATTTCCTATGAAAAAGGATAAACGGACTGCTGGGAGGCTGCCCTACCTGCTTCCTTCTTGGAAACCCTCCAATCGTATCAGCAAGTTACAAATTTGTAGTTGCCAGACGTACTTTTCCCCCTGAAATGTAGGGTCTCTGATCACTTGTGATGTGAAGGAAGAGGAGCCCACCTCCTTTCCCAGGTCAGGCAGCAGCACGGTGGAGCTGAGGAGGAGAGCACTCTGGAGCCAGGTCCTGAGTTTGAGCCTTGGCTCTACCAAGTTTTGGGCCTTGAACAGGTTCCTTGGCCTCTGGGGCTGTAGTTTTTCCACCTGGAAAATGCTCAAAAGTATCTCAGCCATGTAGGAAAATGCCACTTGAATGTTAGCTGTCACTTTTTTTTTCCCCCACTTTGGCTGAGTCCTGAGCCTGCATATCCTTTGGGAAGGACAGAAGCAACTTCTCTTCCAGGGCTCCAAGACTTGCTTTGGGTGAATTGACGACTGACTCTTTGATTGATCTCCTTTGTTTGACCCCTGACCCTCACATGCCTTGGATTCTGTCTGGCTTGCTCCTCCCTTTGCTCCAGTTCCATGGTTTCTGGCTGCCCCTTTGATGACATTACCCTGCCCCTTGTCTCCTGCCCTCATGCTAGGTTGTCAGACTACTTGCGGGCTGGGCACTGACATCTGTTGTGTCCTCCGTGGTGCTGGCCAATTCTGCACTGGCTCTGCTCCTTGCTAGCTTTGCTGTGACCTGACAGTCCCTAGCCAAGTGGCTGAGGGTAGAGAATGCAGCTGTTTTGAGAGCAAAATCAGGAGCCGTGGAGGCCGTCTGGCCTGGATGCAAATCCCCACTCTGCTCTCTTTTCTGGTTTCTCTGCCCTCTCATTGCCTTGTTCTTGGTGGGGGATAATAATAGTTATACTTACCTAATGATTGACAGGAGGATCCAATCCGACCGTGGACATGAGGCCCCTTGGGAACTATGTAGGAGAGTTTATTGCTGGTTGTAAGGTGAGCCCTGAGGGTAGAGCTGTGTCTTCAAGTTTTGAAGTCTCATTACAGGGCGTGTAGTGACAGTATAGCCTTTAGTTTCATTTAGAGTCTTTTCCAGAGCAGACAAGTACCCAGGACCTGCTTGACTTTAGTGATGTTTTCGTTGAGGCCCGGGATTTCATTCTGCTTGAAGTTCAGAGGATCTTCTGGTCAGCTAAGCAGGGAGGAGCTGCCATTTACAGAACTCCGTGTCAGGTACTGGGATTTACCTGGCTTCTTTTATTTAATCCTCTCAACAACCTGTGCAAACTAGACACTATTATTTCTACTCTACAGCTAGAAAACTGAGACTCAGAGAGGCTAAGGAATGTTCACAGGCTCACACAGCAAGTAGACATCAGAGTGATGTTTGAATTTCAAATCATCTGACTCCAAAACAAATGCTGGCGGTGGGGCCCGGGGGAGGAGCTATCAGGCCAGTTAGTGAGTACCTGGGAGGAAAGGTCTCTCCCTGCTCTCAGCCTCTCGCAGGATGCTCTGTCTTCTTGGCCTCTTTCACAGGAGCATATGTATGCATAATGCCGCGCCGATATTGCTCTGCTTTCTCCTTGATATAGGCTTATATTTTAATTTAGCACATGCAGATTTGTCTTTTCCACTAATATGATTTTGTGTCAACATTTCCCACTTTCCACCTAAGCAGGGTTCCCATTTTGTAAAGCACAATGACACTTTCCATCATTTTGCTCCATCGCGGTTTCCTTAGCCGTTCCCCACCCTCTGTCAGGGATCTAGGTTGTTTCTAGTTTCTCCCAATCTAAAAATTGGCACTACCAACATGAATGTTCAATTTGCTGATGTTTATTTATTTCTGATCTCATGTTCTGCTTTGGAAATACACTTCCCGGCCATGTGATGACCAGGTCAAAAGCAGGAACTGTAAGAAGAGTGGTCCATGCTGCCCATGGGGTCTTCAGAGAAACTGCACCTGGGAGGCCCAGATGAGGGTGACCCAGAAACAGACCAGGTGCTTGTTTTCTGCCTACCCTTCCTTTCCTCACTAGTTACTGTTCTTTCCTGAGGCTGAGATTGGAGGAACTTGATACCTCACTCTTAGCAAGGGGTGTGAGAGGTACTGTTCAAGTGGTGACTTTCTGGGTTCCAGAGAGGGAAGTTATTTCAGTGTTCACAGAGGTCCCATGGAGTGGAAGGTCTTGGCAGCTTCTGAGATTGCGCTGCTGTGTGCCAGTGGTCCTGTGTGGGCATGGCTATGCAGTCATTCGCTCAGGCATCCAGTGATTTCTGAGCCCCTACTGTGCATCAGGTGGCAGCGTCATGCACTGCAAAGTGTGTGAATTCCAGACCTGACTCTGCGTGTGTGGCCTTGGGCAGCTTAATCTCTTTAAGCTTCAGTTTCCTCGTGTGTGAAATGGGCTAACAGTCTCTGTACATGCTGTAGGAGTTAGAGGAGAGAACATATAGGTACGGTGTTTGCTCAAGCCTCCAATGCAATGAAGGGCCAACTCTTGTGCAGGTGAACACTAGAACTTCTTACCGATGAAGAAGGTGTGTTCTTGCTTGGAGGTGTGAGAGGTGGGGAGTAATATGATACTTACAGTCTTAGCAGGAGGCAGGTGAAAGGGAAGGCACTGTGATAAACATGCCATAGAGAGGCTGGGGGACCCACACAGGCATCAGATTCAGATTGGTGGGAATTCAGAAAGATTTGGGGTGGGATCTGCCTCCCAAGAGGAGGAAACAAGGCTGGGGAAGAGGGAAGAAGGAGAAAGGAAGTAGAAGCCTGTTGTGTTTTATGGGAGGGTTACATTCTTGAAGACCTCTCAGAGTTCAGATCTCTCGTCATTCAGACTTTCTCCCCTACAGAATAAATGTAGAGTGTGCATTTACTTGATATGGTCTCAAAACACATAGCTTTGTGCTGTCGCTTCTCATATGGTCGCACTCTCTCTCACATTGCACAGTGGGCTCGCTCATAAGTTACCCACTCGGTATCCCATGATGCTTTTTTGGCTTTCTCATTTGCCAAGCTGGTGGTCGTGGCTGTTGCTGTTATCATCATCATCATCATCATCATCATCGTCTCGATATGTTTTCAGTCTGACACCAGCACCACCATTTGACAGACTGTCTAGATTGGGGGTCTGCACATTTTCTTGAAAAGGGCCAAACAATATTTTGACTTTGCAGATTGTGTGGTCTTTGTTGCAACTAATCAGCTTTGCCTTTTGAGCACGAAAGAAGCCATAGACAATAGATAAATGAATGGGCAGGACTGTGTTCCAGTAAAACTGATTTACGGGCACCGCAATTTTAATTTCATGTAATTTTTATTTGCCATAAAATGTTCTTCTCTTGATTTTTATTCAATCATTTGAAAATGTGGCAAAAACAGGCAGAGGGTCAGGTTTAACCTGTGGGCCAGAGTTTGTGGACCGCTTGTCT